CACTGGAACGAGGCTGGTAAGGAGTCACCTGATCAAGTTTTCTGAATCCAGAAGCATTGCAAGTGGACAATTTTTACCGTGTCCTCTAGAAATGACTAGGATCTGGCAGGATGCCTTGAGTACCACAGTCCTATGATGAATATATGAGAGTGAAAGGTACATTAGATCAAATGGCTGGTAGTCAGATGTGGTTTTCAATATCCCAGAGGAATACAGACTAGGGCAGTGATAATCACCAGCGTGCAGGGCTGTTGTGTGAGTTCTAATAGATGGTATCTTTAGTTCTAATAGATGGTATCTTTAGCTACCTGCAAAGACTAGATTTTCCCTTCATCGTCATTGCTGCAACAGCCACATGTCAGGCAAATTCATGTTCACTCAGCATCTAGCTGCTCCCAGGACTTTAAACCTGAACAGTACCAGGTGGTTAGTTTCAACTAAGAGAACGTGAGCAGAGTGAAGTGTCGTTCCTTGACAGTGACAGTGAGAAAACCCACTCGGAGCTCCCAGAATTCTTCTCTTTATTATGGTTATCATTTGGTACTGTTTAGATGTGTGAGCTGTAAGATGAAGCACCCTGGCTTCCTCAGGTAAGTTTTATAAGAACTGTGAGGCTATAGAGAAAATAAGCCAATGATGCTTTAACGTTAATTTATCATCACTGCAGAGCCTTTTAAGTCCTTGAAAAAACAGGCCCCAGAATCTACAGTTCTGAGACAGTGAGGAGAAAGATGCCTTAAAGTTGCCTGCATACAACCCAAGCAAAACTTCTATTTTTTTCAGCTCATGTTTTCTACTCCTAACTAATCTGGTAATTTACAAAAAAAAAAAATTCTTTTTCAGAAACGTGTGCACTTACATTCATTGTATACCTGAACTTAAATGTGTGAAGAAAAAGCACATCCTGGCAGCTGTTCAATATTAATATGTATGATAGCTATATTATTCCATAAGGGATAAAGTACGAGCACTAATAAAATACACAAGAGGATAAAGTGGATCTTAGCTATGACACTTCTCACGTGTCATAAATACTTTTTTTGCTTCCTTCATTTGTGACAAGGGGAAGCACTAGTACATAACAAGTAGGATTATAGGAAACGTTGAAAAAGACAACACATATAAGGACTTTAACAGACAGCCATCTTACAGGAGCACACAACCAGTTTCTGTTATTTTTACGTTGGCATGGTGGCAGCTCCTGCAAATCCACACGAGCATAATAATCTCACACTAAGTAACGGCAGGGCAATTCTCTAAGTCCTAGAATAAATAGAAGATAACACTAAAATGCCATGTAAGGTGACTAGGATAAAATATGAAGTCTTAATCTTCAGGATATCTTTGATATGTATGTGCCTCTTGCAACAGGACTCGGTGGGCAGCTAATAGAATGTAACTTTCATGCTTGGAAGATTTGGTGTCAAAGAGGCAGGGACCTTTGATCGTCTTCTGTTGTAGAACTCTACTTATCTTGGAGTGATAAGAAAGTAGAAAAGGGTCAACCTGTTTTCAAGATGGCTGTTTTTATTTTAAAATCCTACGGGTAACTTGCTAGAGCAGATACAGGCATCATCACACATCCCCTGTGTGCTGTTTGGTTCAGTCTTCTGATTGCTGTCTTGTGGTGAATGGTTCTGTTTATAGCTTTAAAACTGCTATCTGGGTGACAGGCTTCTGTTTCTAATCTTAAGATGGTTGTCTAGTGGCTTTGCTCCCCATGGTTTATCATGCAGCTTGATGGTACTTGGGAGAGAAATACAATTAACTAACTGTTCACCTGCTTGGCATACAGTTTTATAACTTGAAGTATGATATGTATCTCGAGGCTTGTGGTGAGAGAGCTTGAGAATAAAGATTTTATGTGATGTCTTATACTATAAAAATATACCTTTAAATACTTTATATAGTTTATTCTTTCTATAATTTTTACATATGTGTGTATGCATATTGTGCATGTACCTCACCATAGATCTTTAAAGTTAAACAGGTATAAATCCAAGATTTTTAAGTTTAAAGCACATAAGAACAGTGGGACTTTGTATTTTAACATGAACTATGACCTCTAACTTCCAGTATATTCCCAATACCTTACAATTTATTTATGATTTTTCCCCCTATAACATCACCATAATTCTTTTCTACTGACTGTTTTGAGGCAAAGCCTCAGTTTGGATCCTGAATGGCGTGGAAATTCTTATATAGCCCAGGCTGGTTTTCAAGTCATGATTCTCCTCAAAATTCCAAGTTCTGGGACTATGGTTCTGAACCTCCAACTTCCATTATCATGCTTTTAAATGATCGGCATCTTAGGCTACATTCTAGAAGTTTCCAGTGACCATTTTACAAGTTATAAACCCTAGAAAATGCATCAATCTCTTTATAAATTAGGGAGTTTTTGTGGAGTATATCTCTGTTATTATTGATTTATGTACTAACTCTGCTAGGAAAAAATGTGGTTATTTGCAGTATTCTTTGATACATGAGATGACACAGGTGGTACCTTGACCAGTTAAGTTTATGCAGATAGTAGGCTCTCCACATGGTGATGTTTTGTATACTTTTCTTATAACCCCAGGATAGAGAACTGCTTCAAGCTCAAGATCCGAGTGGGCTAGAGAGTGAGCTCCAGATCAGTCTGGAGCTGGGTCTTTACATCTCAGTCTTACTATTTAGTTTAGAGTAATTATTATTTATGTTTAGTTTAGACTAATTATTACTATTTTATTTTTAAATTTATTTCTTTAAATTCATTTTTTTAATTTATTTATTTTTTAAAATTTATTTATTTACTATGTATACAGTGTTCTGCCCTCACATTATACCTGAATGTCAGAAGAGGGCACTAGATCTCATTACAGATAGTTGAGAGCCACCATATGGGTGCTGGGAATTGAACTCAGGACCTCTGGAAGAGCAGTTAGTGCTCTTAACCTCTGAGCCATCTCTCTGTGGCACAGGCCTTTAATCCCAGCACTCAGGAGACAGAGGCAGGCGGATCTCTGTGAGCTCCAGGCCAGCCTGGCCTACAGAGTGAGTTCCAGGACAGGCAAAAAGCTATACAGAGAAACCCTGTCTCAAAAAACAAAAAAAAAACAAAAAAAAAAAAAAAAAAAAGGAAAAGTATTTTTGAGCCTCAAAATATCCACCCACTTTTCCAATGGCTCCATACAATTGTTTGACTTTGAATAATACAATGTCTAGGATGTCTAAAGGGTATTGAGAAGCCAGGTACCATGGTATCCAGTTATAATCCCTACACTTGGCAGGTAGAGGCAAATAGATCAGAAGTTCAAGGGCAGCCTGCCCTGTAACAAGAAAAGAATCCCCCCCACACACACACACACAAACAGCTCCCGAGAACCCAACCACTGGAGCCATAAGCCCACCCTGCACCACCAATTGGGAACAGCTGCTCCCTGAGACAGAATCCACTAATACTGATTGGACTAAGCTGCTCCCGGAAAGACAGAGCCCAACAGCACTGATTCGACCAAGAACTCCTAGTGGACCAAGACTATCAATTAGAACAAGAGACGCACCTTCAGACACAGACATAGGCCTATATGACATTTGCTTCTTGAATGAAGAGAATCTAATTTTCTATTATAAATAAGAGGATTTGAAATATTTTGAGGAGCTAAAACACTTAGTTGCATTTGAAGAGCAGTTGTTAAGGAACTAAGGAAACCATTGGTAGCTGGAGTCAGTGCATGGTAAAGCAGGGTCCCACTAGAATGAAGTTCTTATTGAGCAGGAGTACAGGGGTGGGTGGAGCCTAAGAGAAGTGGTGAACCAGCAGAGGAAAGAAAGATACATAGGACAGAAAATGTGACTCCCAAGGTAGCATCTGTCTATAATAGTTGCATGACTCTAGGTTTTCTTTTTGGTTTTGTTTTTAGTTTTATTTTCCTTATATAAATGGCTACGACTGTCTCAGTAATATTTATTTAAAGAGTGTGGCAAGCCAAGTGAGTCAATATACGCAGAATAAAGTTATGCATCATAAAATGCTTAATAATTTGGTAAAAGGTAGAAGTGAAATAAACCAGCATGGTACTACTAGAAATTTCAATTATCCCTTAAAGTTTAAGGAAGAAGTTGTTCCCTTCTTTTCTTCAGTCTATCCATGACCTAAATGCATGGTGTCCTGACATATTTCACCCTGAATACAGTTAATTGACAGTGATTGATTCAGATGAAAAGGTCAAAACATCCGAGCGTGAGAATGAGGGTATGTATGTAGGTCCACACAAACAGAAAAAGGCATTATTTAAATAATATTCAAAGAGCCATAACTGAACATGTTCAAGTGAAATTTCTGTAATATATTGTGTTAAAAGGCTTTTTTTTCCCTGTTGTTGCTCCTGGTTTTAGTTGAGATAATGTATAATCACCTAAGTACAGTAGTTTGAAAGAATAATAGACTTCTAATGAGAAATTATTGGAACTGTGAAATGTTTGCACTTTGTAGGCAAGAAGTAGTAATATTAAAACTTAAATGGAAAAGAGGTAATAAAGAGTTGTGAGTGTCTGATATCACTCTCCCAGAGTTCCAAGGTCTTGACTCCACAGTTAGTTCCCCTCTGAAGGCCCCACACCTCCTTCCCATCAGCAAACATGGTTTTGCCATTTGAAGTCTTTGTTTAAAAAAAAAATATTGCCATGAACTACAATGAAGGCAGAAAGAAACAAAATGTTACTTGGATTCCACCTACAAAATATTTTATAATTCTTTTATTCCCAATGAAACAAACCAACCACAGTTAATTAAGCAAAGCCTGTGCAGATGAGTCAATAGGCGTGTGCCTGGATGGTGAAGGCATAGGGAAATGGATCCCAGTCCAACCGACTGAAGGCTTCTGAAGAATAATCAATGGGATTTCTAAACATGGACAGACATAAAGCCATTTTCACATCTTCAGGTTATTAAATGCAGAACAAACCTTTCTCTTCCCCAACTGATTTTTTTTCTTATTAAAAAGTTCCAGCACAGAAAGAACATTTGTTTCATATTTTATTGAATTTCATTTATATTAAATTAAAAATATATTTCTGACAGATTCATGTAACAAAAAGGCAGAACAGTTTTCAAATTGTTCAGCTGGGATGATCAGTATGGAATGAGGCAAAGCAGTCGCATTCTATACGTGCCTTGGGCAGGCACAATTCTTTCCCAAGAGTCAGAAGAGGATCCTTGAGAACTAACTCAAAAAGCCTAATTACATCAATTTAAAATACAGTTTCTCCCTTGTCCTCAATAACAACAGAAAGTCGGGGCAGGAGGGAGAAGAGGTTGAAGGGTTGGAGGAGAAGAAAGAATAGGAAAATTATACTAAAAATATACCTAACATTAAAAAAGTTAGTATGTGTTAAGTGCACAATCCTTCATAGATAACATAGAAAAAAAATGAAAATAACATTTCACCACACACAATCGGCATATCCTATTGTGTAAGCGAGTGCAGAGGTTGGACACATCACAATAGTGCTGAACACAGAATCACAGGTAATGTCAAAATGATAACTTCCAACCAAAAAAGAAACAATCACAAGCCAATTACTTATATACAAATGAACCCTAAAGACAATTATGTTCCAAATAAAGATGTTCACAGAAGAAAATCAAAGCAACATTATCCTTATTTACAAATGCAGCTAGCCATGTCTTTAACAAGCTATAAAAATACTATTCACATTTTCAAACATACAGTAGTATTTTTTGTTTGTTTATTTCAAAAAGGCAGCTAACTTTGAATGCTGGGTTTGAAATGAAACATCGATGGCTACCAGCGAGTTATTTTTTTTTTCAGCCCTGTCCTTTGATGATACTTCAGAGGAAAGAGGACTCATTTTCTGTTTACAAGTCAAAAAATAAGGAAATGAGCGCAACTCTGCCTTTTCTGCAAATTGTCTCCCTTTCTCACCCAAACTCTCTTATTTAACTACTGTGATGCGTGCATGAGATGAATTTTGAGAGATTTAATGTGACCTAGTTTTGTGTGTGTGCCATGAATTGTCTTGCACATGAATCTCATTTATATTTGATCCTATTCTAGTGATACTCAGAAATGAGACTGATCAAGCAGCCAGAGCATGGGAAAATGCACTGTCAGTGTGCGGCCATGCAGGCCTTGGTGCTCCCATGATGAGGTGGACGCAAGCCGGCCAGTAAGGTGAGCATTCAAAGTTAGCTGCCCTTGCACAGCTGCTCAGTTTAAGAGTCGACCCATTTAACAGCAGTACCAGTTTATGCTACATATTTCAAAGTACCTTACTTTAAAAGAACGGCTTACATGTATCTATCTACATTTAGAAAATTACTTTCATAGCTGATTACTGGAATAATTCCAAAAGGGTTCTTGGAGTGTTGTGGGTGTTACTCTCACTCCCCACTCCCAGCCCCTGAGAGATCCAGAACTATACAGGGATATGACTCTCACATTAAGGAAAATGGTACAACCCCTCCATTAACTGAAAAACACAGAAAATGAAACTTGAAAGTCAGGTTTCTGTCAATCGATAGAAGGTAGGGTTTGCTAGTCTTCAACGGGGCAACAGGCCAGGGGAAACATCAACACATTAGGGATAAAAATAGCAAGAAAGACGAATTGGTTTGGACAAACTGGACTATTGTCTACAGGTATGAAATCTTGTTTTCCTGTGTTTGTATATTTATACAAATATAAACACTTCGCATGACATGGGGGAGAGCACACTAAAGCATTAAAAGAAAAATTTCCTTGTAGAGAAAGTATAATTCTGTCAGTCGACGTGGGCTTTCATTACAGTGACATGGTGCTTGTTATAAATGTGTTAGATGGATGGATGTTCAACCAAACCCAGAGAAGGTTCTTAAAGGTGAATTGCCTCTACTTTTGTGATAATAACACTCCTCACCTGGGAAAGAAAAATCTAGCAGCTGTAAAATATTTATAATCAGGAATAAAATAAAGTGATCAAAGTAAATAAGTTAGTCGGCTGCAATAACTTAGTTTTATATATATATGTACACATAAAACTATCTACACATACACAGTTTTCATGGAAAGAGTAAAGGTAAGATCTAGAGGTGCATGTACACACAACATGAGTTTCGAGACTCATTACAGAGCTAACTTATCTCAAATTCCTACAGAGAAGTCCACAGTGAGAGAATCAATTGTCATGGAAAAACAATTTTAGCTTCTTAAATAATTTTTTTGTGCTGTCTTTTGTTTGAGAAGTAGTTTACTACCATCTAGAGTGGTTGAATATTTTAATGGAAAAAAAATCAGGCATTTGAGGGCAAAGGCTAGGTCAGTATTTCACAGAAGAGGATGTGGGTCTTCATAGATCCACTATGGCTTGAGAAAGCGACAGCCTTAGGAGAGCCACTTTGAACTAGTGACAGAAAATCAAACAGAAAAAGGCATTGTGCAAGTGGGGGACGGAAAAGCAAAGGTGCCACTTTCCTCTGAGACTCAGAGGCAAATAAAATTTTCTGTGTCTCTGATAAGGTGATCACTCACTTGCAAAGCTAACTTTCAAGGAATTTCCTTCCAGGGGAGACATGTGAATGCTCCTTGAAATTGGGGCTTATATAGTCTTTTCAGCCTATGACTCTAGAAGCATTTTCTTTTACCTAAACCATCTCTTGGCCAGGAGTGAGGTGAGACAGGGATCTGCAAGGGAAACATCCTATCTATTGTACATTTAATCAGTGGGACTTGATGAGCAAGAATCTGAAATTCTTATTATTTTATGATGCTTTCACTTAAAGAAAGGAACAAAGCAGCCTCTGATGTTAGAAGGTTTTATATATACAAATGCAAGGGCACCTGATCCCATACAATGTCCACAGTGTCTTTGTGCTCATAACAGCGGAGAGAAATCCTTCAAAGGCATCTCTAAGTTTAGAAAAATTGTGTTGATTCTATCCAGACACGTGAATGTTGACCTCATCTTAGTGTCAACAAAAAGAAGGTCTCAACTGCCAATGATCTTTTAAAATTATGCCTGATTCACATTCATATTCACATGTCATTTTTTTCTTGAGCAGATGGTCAGCAGGAGACAACCACATGCCTTGACATGTCTACAGAAGGACAAGACTGTCCTGCAGCCTCACAGAAGCACAGCCAGACTCTCTGCCCATGTTATATGCAGTAGAAGTTGGTTTGTCTGACCTTTTAACTGTTAGTAGCTGTTGTTTTGGATTTCTCATTTGCCTCATAATGAACCAACAGTTAAAAAACAAGAGTCCAAAAGAACACCTTTTTAATAGTTTAGAATTTTTGCTTCAGCATCTACTTATCAAAAACAAACAAAACAAAACAAAAAAAGGTAATGGGTTCCATATTGGTTATGTAGGCAAGAAGGTATGGTGAGAAAAGAAAAGACATGTCACAAATTAAATATGTTGTGTTTGCTTTCTAAATGATAACACTCATTTTGTTGCTGTTTGTTTTGCATCTATAGAAGGTAATATAGACCCTTTTCATTTCCTTTACTCATTTGGAAGATCTCTTAACCTCACATGTGGTTTATCTGCCTGTTAAAGCACTTCAAATTGATGTCTGCAAAGCAATCCCTTTCTGCATCCTCTTTGTACGTAATACATTTTAAATGTAATGAAAGAATAGGAGAACAAGAGAAAAATCATCTGTAGTGCTCTAAAGCAAGTTTTCACAATTGAAACCACACTATGTCAACTATCTGCTAAACCCAACCAACAACCAACCATTTTAAATGGCAAACTTATTTTTTATTTTCTATGCAAAACCCACCCTACATTTTCATAGTCTGAATTTTACTGTGTTATTTTATATTTCATGATTAATTTTCTAGTTTGATTTCTTCTTAATATTAAAAGCATTTAACGTTTGATAACCTAACTAATTCTACGTCTCACGGCATTGGCATGATTGTGTCCAGTTATACACATGCTTTCATGGTCACTTTTTTTCTTTTTTTTACCTTGTGAACTACATGTACTAGTTAAATAATCAACAATTACAGATGGACAAAGAATTCCAGTTTTTAAATAAAGGTTAGACTGTTCAAAAGAATCTTATATTTACATCCTTCTGTGTCAGGCATAAAAACATTTTTATTTCTAGTTTGACATCTCAGAAAACACATCGATCATCCACCAACCCCATGTATCAGCAAAGCCTCATATCTTTCTACTATCCTTTCCCCACCATTGCCAATATGTGCCATTATCAAAAGGTGTAACACATGAAAATGACATACTTATCAGCTGCCCCCCCTCCAATTTCTTCTTTCAAGTTAGAGCTAGTCAGCCATTCTTCCTGACTTACAAAAAAAACAGACTTTTACTAAGTCTTTGATCTTCCATTTTGTGTTTTTAATAGTTTGAAATGTGCATTGTTTTTCACAGTTTCAAGAATGCTTCTAGAGAGAAAGAACCACATCCTAACCTGTGCTACCAATGTAATTCAGAAAACCAGGACTAGCTTCTTGCTTGAGCTGCAGCGTTTTGGTGACTCTGAACCTCTCCTGACTTAGAGGATATTTTTTCTCATCTGTTTAAGAATAGCTTCCTTAAATAAGTATTTCACCAAAAAAGAAAAAAAAATTACCCTGCCTGAAAATTAGATTCCCCAAACTTAAGCATGATCATTACAATTTGACGATTTAAAAAAAAATATAGTAAGCTTAATTTTAACATTAATTTTACTGAGTCTTTCAAATTGATTCTGCATATTCTGATTGGTGCTGCTGATGACTATCACCTGATATTCCATAGCAATCTGTAGGCTTTAACTAGTATCTTACAATTTCAGTTTACCAGGTTAAACAGGTTATTCTCTTAAGTAAATGAAAGCCCTCCTCACAATCCCTGTTTGCTGTCCCTTTAGTCCACTCTTGAATAATTTCCCCCTAGGTAGTCAAAACTAAAAAAAGGAATGATAAAATGGCATTTAGGGGTCATTCTCAATTTCTCCGGCATCTGTCTCCAGGGGCAGATGTGTAGAACTGTGAATCTTGTGCTTCTAAGGAGGAAAGAGACAGCATTCACTGACTATGTTTCCATTACTTTAACAGTTAAGAGATTATCTTCTTTCTTTTACAAAAAAAGAGTCTGCTTTCCTATTCCCACTAGAAGCCATATGAATATTGTAAACGAAGAGAAAAGGTCAGGACAACTTTCCAAAGGTGCTGCCAGCGATGGGTAGGCATAGATTTATCTACTAGCAAAGGCTTACATTTCAGCTCTTCATACTTAATAGGGACCTATACAAGGTCTCTTTTCTTGTAGATGCCTCTGAATTGGGTTGGGGAGCTTTGGGTTTTAAAGCTGCGGCCCTTGGATCATGCTATGTCTTTATCTCTAGTAAATTTAGGGTTAGACTTCACTAGACAAGATCTCACAAACCCTCCTCCTGTCTCTAGTTCCCATTTTCAATTTGCTTCACTTCTCTTAGTATAAGAAGAGGCCAAACCCAACACATTTAAGAGGTTTGGCCAAAGATCACCATTTGCTGCTGCTTTCATAGTAAGACTGTCACTTTGCCAGTGATACCATATTTTTCTGGTCAAGTTTGTGTCTGGATAAGAACATAGAAGTGATTGTACTTGTCATCTTCAGTAGTTTAAAGGATGTTTAACTTACATCCCAATGAGTTCTCAGAACTTTTACTAAAAACCTGTTCTGTAAAGCCTTTCACAAATAGTTAATGTGACCTGGTTCCTTGGACTCATGGAGAAATAAGAATGTCACAGGATATAAATCTAGATTGTTAGCATTTGAAGTCAGAGATGATATCTCATTTATCTGACTGCTCCCCCACATACTTTTAGTAGACTTTAAACAAATATCAATTGAATAAATCTAGATTTGGATGGATGGATTTACTCTTTCAAAATAGGTAGAAACATAAACGTCCTTGAAAAAATTTCTCCCTTAAGCACTCTGTTTTAACAAGAAAATGTTTAATCTAATTGATTTTTTTTAGGCTAGTGAGTCTAATTGTCTCTTAATAAAATAACAGTAGAAAGAAATGTTTAAAACAATGTAAATGACTCAGAGAAGAATTTTGTAGAAAAGAGCGAAGTACTAGGTTTCCTTAATTCCTAGAGATTCATCTGTCATTGTTCCCATCAGTCATCTTAACACCATAGGTGTTCTTTTCAAATGAAAGCTAAAAGAGATGGTTCCACAACTGGGACATAGTATGGTAGTAGATGAAGAGTCATTACATAAATTATTACAAGATTAATGTATTGGATGATAAAATGATTGCATGAGAAGGGTTTTCATGTTTATTTACAACTTTTAACTCAATCATGGACCTGTTCATATGCTCCAAATGTTTATGATTTACTTTTAATTATAGCAACTTAGGTGGGAAGAGTTAAGCTACCTTCTACTCCATATAAACAGAGTCTCGTTCTAGAAATTCCATGGATTTCAAGCCAGTCCTCAACTTGCATTCCTTCACACAGAGAGTACAAACTTAACATACTTCCTTACACAGCAAATGTCACAGAGTATGAAGATAATGTGCTGGCCCTCTCACCGCAATCCCTGGGTACTGTTCCAAAGTCCTAGTTGGCTTGGTTTGGCATTTCCACAGTCTGTATTTATCTTAGATCCTTTAAAAAAATGTACTTAAATCTGCTGGTTGCTTCCATATTGCTTCATTCAAAATCCAAAGTAGAGTTCAGAAAAAGAGCAAATAAAATTAGAGCTTAAGTGCAAACTACATTTCTGAGTACCTTCCATGTAGACGTACCCAATCCAGTGTTTCTTCCACTGCATGGATCCCCCATGGGACCACCCCTGAAAGTATCAGTAGTTTTTTTGAACCACACAGAACTGTTTCTTAGCATCCCTTCTACTCTGAAGATTACCACTGCCCATCAAAGACAGTCATTTATGGCGAAAAATAAAATGCTAAAGAATGAAAATGACTGGGAAGAATAAATTCAGTAGTGCAAAACATGAAATCTAGATTTGATGCTATTTTTATTAGTATCTTGGCTTTCTCTTCTAATTTAAATGACTGCATGATTTAAAATAATGGCCTCTACATCATATAATTTTTTTTTGTGTGTGTGTGTGTCTGTGTGTGTGTGTTTCAACTTTGTCAAGAAGCTTTTATGTAAATATCTTCGTAACTAGAAACTACAGCCCAAAATAGGAGAGGAACTAATATAAAGGAACAGGCCAAAGCAAACCAAAATGGGAACACCAGAGAGGCCTTCTATGCATAATTACTAGTTATAACTATAATGGAGATTTAAAAATTATAAAAGCTGGGTTGGCCATTCTTCCTTGCCAGGAAAGAAACTATTGGAGAAAGAAATTGGCTTCTCAATCTCAGTTACTATCAAATGGGATCCAAATGTTCATCCTTTTGTTCTAATGAAAGCTTTTGTATGATTTTAGGGATGCTGAATATGCACAAGTCTATGGATGCAGATGAGAATGGAGTCTGGGTTTTCAATCACCTGCATTGATAGGAGAAAGGGAAGGAATGAAGGAGGGAGAGAGAATGTACAAGTTAATGCTGGGACTCTGACAGCAGGCAGTACTGCTTTATATACCCTAGGCCTTCTCTAGCTCTGACACTGTTGACCAACCCATATGAAGAAACGAAGAAACAGTGTGTGTCTTCCTGTCTTTCTCCTTCAGTCTTTCCTTCTAATGTTCAAGTTAGGTAAGCACAGAACTATCATTGCGTCTCTACACCTTCCATTAGGAAGTGTCAAAACTACTGGCCTTGGGAGAAGGAAGAAGACCACCAGAGAAAGAGCAGGGGTGTGTGTAGGGGGAGGGAATGGAGTGGGCATGTCTCTCCACCTAATACCCCAGCTGAGCTCACACCACAGTATTCCGGTGTCTGTAGGGCGGAGGGGGCAGCATAGTGCCTGGCTTCAGTGAGAACTCAGAGAGGTACTCAGGATTCTCTGCCACAATAGGGCGGATCCGTCCGTTCTGTTTATAAAAATACTTTGTGCTGTATTCCTGCAGGTAGTCTGGGTGCTGAAGGGTGCTCCGGGGTGGCAGGCTGTGGTTCCAGTAGTCGGGGTTGTCGAATGCTTTCTTGGCTTTCTCGGGCACAGACAGTACGCTGTTCTTCAGGTACTCGGCGTTCCCCAAGGCGTTGGCGAAGGTGTTGAGATAGAGTGGTTCATTCACATACTCATCCTCCGCCTTGGGCGGACCGCTGGAAGCGCTGTGATATTCCGGGTTATCTAAAGCTTGAAGGTCTCCATTTTTTCTCCGTGACACAAAAGGGTTTTCTTCCACAGGATTCAGATATTCTGAAAGAACATATATATTTATATATATAAAAATGACATCTAATAGAGATCTACGTTCAGATATCCTTAATCTGACTAAAGTTAAGAACAAGGGTTAGGTTTGTTTAGAACAAGAGAGCCACAAATTCGTTTTCTTTTCTCAAAACAAAACAAAGCCTGCATATAGTGCCGTGGGATGGTCTGTATGTCAAATGTGGTGCAGATTGGTCAATGAATAAACCACTGATTGGCCAGTGGCCAGGAAGGAAGTATAGGCGGGACTAACAGAGAGGAGAATTGAGAGAACAGGAAGCTGGGTGGAGGAGACACTGCCAGCCACCATCATGACAAGCAGCATGTAAAGATGCCGGTAAGTCATGAGCCATGTGGCAAGGTATAGATTTATGGAAATGGATTAATTTAAGCTGTAAGAACAGTTAGCAAGAAGCCTGCCACGGCCATACAGTTTGTAACCAATATAAGTCTCTGTGTTTACTTGGTTGGGTCTGAGTGGCTGTGGGACTGGCAGGTGAGAGAGATTTGTCCTGACTGTGAGCCAGGCAGGAAAACTCTAGCTACAATGTAGATTGGGACAGGAAGGAGAAAAATGAAAACAAAACAAAACGGTAACAAAAAAAGTTAGCAAAACAGGGCATGGACAAGGACATGGGTCGGAATCCCAGTCTTCTAGATTTTCTTCTCTTCTAAAGGCACCTACATATGGTGCCAGCTCTGTAAAGGCTTCTGTTTATGGGGCTGTCAGGGTTAAGTACCCTTTCTGGGGCTGGAGAAATGGTTCAATGGTTAAGTGCTTGCAGCTTTTACAAAACGGCCAGAGGCCAGAGCTGGCTTCCCAGGATCCATATTAGGCGCTCACAAACTCCTCGAACTCCAGCTCCAGGAAATTTAATGCCCTCTTCTGGCCTCCATGGGCTCCAGCACACATGTGAACACAGACATAGACACACAGACACACACACACATACTCCACACACACACACGTGCACAGACACAAGCACACACATACATTTAATATCAAATTAAAATCTTTCCAAAAATACCCTTTGTACAAAAATCTTCACATCTCTCTCTCTCTCTCTCTCTCTCTCTCTCTCTCTCTCTCTCTCTCTCTCTCTCTCTCTCTCTCTCTCTCTCTCATCTATCCACCATCATTCTATCTATCTTCTCTCTCTCTCACTCTCTCTCTCACTCTCTCTCTCTCTCTCTCTCTCTCTCTCTCTCTCTCATCCATCTCTCTTCCTAATTTATTCTGGACTATAGTCATCAAAATTCTCATCATATTATGCTAGGTAATTTACATTATGTATTGAGGGATCAGTAGCCTGTGTTTCACATACAGTGACCAGAGCCATATAAAGATGATATAATGGGATTTCACAGTCTTAACATCTGGCCTGCTGCTGATACTGACAGACATCATCATGATCACTATTTTCAATAACAATTATTCATTATCTCTGTTTTGTGGCACTGCTACCATAGAGAGAAAGAGGTTTTTTTTTTTTTTTTTTTTTATTTCAAAACTAAAGTGTTACTTAATGTGGGTGTTTAACCTTTCTATGTTTAACATTTACAAAGCCATTAATTCACAAACCATCTTCAAGATGGTGGTGCATGTAAGTCCATACAGAATCAAATTTCATTTTTGAAGAATCACTCACAAAATTCATAGTTTCCTGTGATAAACTTAGTTATTTTTGGTGATACTGGGGTCAGTCTAAATCTAAGTTCTCATGTGTGATAAGAAAGCACTCTATGATGATTCAAAGCCCTAACCCTACGCTAGGTTAATGAGATTGAATGTTTTAAATAAATCAGCTCTCTTATTGTTGACATCAGAAGCTTTGGTCCTTTGCCAGTAACACCGATCTTTACAACCTCCATGGTAACTTCAACAAAGCAATTGTTCTGAATCCCTGTAGTATCATACTACTTCATTCAACTATTGCAATAAAGGTAGGTTTAAGTTGGTGTTTGTCGGGCTTTGTTGTGCTTATATGTCACTTGAGGATTTCATTAAAAATCCAATTTCGTGTTCAGGTGGAGCTTGAAATTCTGACTATTTAAAGAAGTACTTAGGTACATAGATGCCACTGATTCAGAAAACTATTCTCTAATAGTCATAGCCTGGGCCTTTTCTATTATAGATCACAAATATCAGACCCTCGAGCTGTCTGGAAACTTGGCTTCCATCCCCTGTTTGTTTGATGGAGGGGATCATTGAGCACAATCACTTCTGAACGTTCAGCTTGTACCTTGTTTGGGTTTGTCACGCATGGGAGTCATGTAGCCTTCTTCATCCAGTTCACCTCGTGGGTTCCGTTCTGGGGCAAACACCGTGGGGTCAGCACTATACCTCTGTGTGCTACTGTCTTCTTGGACATGGGGTGCCACTGTCTTGCGTAGGGTGCCATTACAGCAGGAGTCATCAAACATCTCAGCTGTTGCACCCTGAGCGACTGGAGCTTCTGGTATGGTGTTGGTTGTGGCTCTGTAGGGCATGGCTATTCCTTGTTGTGTAGCAAAGCCCCCATCCTGGTACACAAACTGATTCTGTTAAAATAGCAGAAACATATTGGGAGAATCAGTGGTTAGGAAAAATTGTAAAAGGATCCTGAATGTTATTAGCCACAAAGGTACCAAACACATTGTCTTTCAAGTTTAGCAATTCATGACTTATTTTCCTAGGAGGCTAATGAATTTGAGGTAAAGACTAGACATATTTAAAATTCTACTTTTTTCTGTGTGCATATATATATATATATATATATATATATATTCATATTCATATTCATGTACGTGTGAGTGTAGGTATACATGCATGTGGAGGTCAGAGGTCAATGTTGGGTGTCTTCCTTTATATCCCTGTACCTTAATTCTTGAGACAGAATTTCTCACTTAACCTGGAACTCATCAATTTGCCTATATTGGTTGGTCAGGAAGGCCTAGAGATCGTCTTTCAGCTCCTTCCTTGTGCTGGAATTCGAATGTCCAGCTCTTTGTGTAGATGTGGGGATCCAACTCAGACCATTATGCTTGTGGAGCAAGCAATTTTCTGACTGAGCCATCTTCTCAGCCCCTTCCAACCCTGACTTTTTCTTAATAGGTAAAAAAAAAATCATGTGGAAATAATTTAAATTTTCAATTTTTAAATTTACTAAGTGTGATCTAATAAAAAAGATTTTTGTGTTCTTTTTCTACAATTGCCTAATTTTGTTATGAAACTCAAAATAAATTTTCATGACAAATGGTCTTAAGTGCAGAAGTACAGTGAAATATTATGAATGGCAAGCGCCAATACTACCTCCCATTCTGCGGTTACTATGACGTTGGTGTCCAGTACCTAACAAAAGGACAGTCACTGAGACTCAGACTTTACAGCACATGACCTGCAGTCATGAGACTGAAGATAAAATCTTCACCCAGAAGCATAATACACGGACTGGTAAATCCTTCCAATAACCATTGAAAGCTCCTGTTGGTGTATGATGTCTCAGTTGCAGATTATCACCTGACATACAGACATCTACACAGGCAGCTACAGGATCTATAGCCAATTCTTGACTCACTGTTGGCAAAGGCAAAAATGAGGAAATAATATGGAGGTAAGAGAAGAAACGTGGTTAAGAGAAGACCAAAAATCCTAGAAGATGAAGGCTGATCGTGAAATACTTACTCCCGACATGGGGGTGTAGGCAGGAGGAGGGCTGTGTCCAATTTCACTCTAATAGGAAAGAAAAATGGAATGATGGATATAATAAGAGGCAACATGGATGAAAAACTAAAAAAAAAAAAACCAAAGAAAAGAGAAAGAAAAGATACGATTTGCATGAGCCAAAGAAGGGAGTGCACAAGAGTGATTTTTCCTAGTCAAATTGTGTTCATTCTCACTACAAACAAGCAAATTTAAACACTAATTCTGCCCCAGACAAAGAAAATCACATTGACAAAGTAAAATTTTTAATGATTTAAAAGAAAATAAGACTGACATAAGAATTATAATTTTTCAGATTAACCGTAGAAGACGGAGGGTGGGGAGCCAGAAATAATGAAACTGTGTTTTCAAATAAAGGATAGTTGGTTTTTTCACATATCAAAAGACCCAAACAGCTTCATGCTATTTAGGATCATTACAAAATACCAGTTTGTTTCCTTACAAGAAAAAAAAAAAGGGGGGGGGGTGTTCAGAAGGAAAAAGAAAGTGGATTTAAACTCATCTAAAACATTTTCTATTAAGCTACATTTATTTTCACCACTTCAACAAAGGCCACTCAGTCTTTCCTTATTAATAAAAAGGCCACATACTATTGTATCTTCCATTCTACTTCTTAAAAAGGGAAGAAACAGAAGAAAACTTGAAAAGTAAATTTGCTACTAGAAACATAATTCCTATTCCTTTTATATAGTCACACAACCAGGTTTTGGCTTCAAAAAGTCTATATTGTTATGACTTAATATTCTACCCTTTGGGCTATATGAAGGTGAAGGTAAAATATGATAAAATGTTAAGGATACTGTTCCTTCAGAAGAGAGAAGTGGGGCTGTGTGAATCCCAAGTCTGTTCCTTAATATAAAAATACACACATATATATTCACTCATTATTAAACACACTGACTAAGAACAGCTTTCTCTGTGAGAATTTCTCTGCTTCTCTGGTATTGAGGATAATGAATAAAGCAGGCAAAAGTTGCTGCAACTATGATGCGACTCTGTACATCTGATCTCAAGTCAACAGAGATGACTAAAGATCCTTCCAGCAACTTATGTCATGTGTGTGAAACACCAAAATATCATCTCACATCAGTGTTCCTACAATTTAGAGATTCATAAGGCAATCCCAAAAGATTGTTCTATGAATAGCAACTATTTAATGTAAATCAATCGCCATTGAACAATGCAATTTCACTTAACAAATGCTATTTGCCAGACTGACCAAAGAACAAGTCCTATAATGAATTTATACTGCATCTCACCCTACAGTTAATGACAGAATTGAGAATGAAGATCATTTCCCTCTCTAATTACACAGGGGTGAGTGAGGCCATGAAGTATTTGTCAAATTATGCCTGCCCATTTCACTTAGAATAACATTTCTAGGTCTATCTGTGTCTTTTCAAATGATAAGCTCTCACCTATTTTTATAGTTAAACAGTATTCAATTTTGTATATGCTTCATATTTTCTTGCTCCATTCAGCAGCTTATGGGCATTATTTTTATAGATATATTTAAGATTCAATGCACAGGAGTTGATATTATACTATGCACATTTATTTTGTCCTGTTAGAAATTTTAGGCTTTAGGTCTAATCAATCACACATGTTCAATTGTAAAATATATCAGACCCCCCACTTTCATCCTTGGTCTCTATTCTTTGGAATGACAAATTATGCTCTGCACTGTAATATAAATGTAGACTATATATAATGTGTAAGTATATGTGTCAGCTAATCAGAGTTCTTAAGTCAAGGAATCATGTCAAAGGTATCCATCAAAGATACATTTTTAATGCTTATCTGTTATCTGATTATCATAAATATAGGCAGATTTTGCTGTCCTTTATAAAGACAGAAAATCAATTCTATTTGTTCATAATATTTGAGAAAGGAATATTTTATATAGTTCAGTGACTTGTAAAATTGAGGAGTGGCACAAATAAAACATGATAACTGCCTGCATTAATGTTATAACATTTGAAACCCCAGACTTATCATCAAGCCCTGATTAATTAGCAAGTATTTAACACATTTTAATTAAATCTTAATGATCAAATCACTGGTCACTGTTATAGATGTTAGAAACACTAAGGCATACTAGAAGAGATATGGACACTGACTGACCTTTGGGGACTTATAATGAACCGTCAGACATTGCCTGAGATTATGGAAGTAGAATCGAACAGACAAACACAACAAGGCACAAAAGAACGATGCTGTTGGAGTGAATTCATTCCACGCCTGCAATTACATATCAGAGGGTAAAGTATTCCAAAACACTAGTAATTACCTGTGTTCCTTGACCTCTCACTTGGCAAAAATGCTCATTCTGTATAATGCTCAATTTGAATCACAGCTACAGCTAGCATTGATGGTGCATTTTGTATTTTTTTTTTTCGAACTTGAAAGATGAATGATCAAAGGACTAACTCACAAGCCATTCTCAATGAGGAAACAGTTCGTTATCTATCTTCATTCTCTAGGATAGAATGCCTTCGGTTGTAAAGGTGGTGTACCGTAAATAGCTGGACTTTGCAGTTAGCTTGCTCTGGGACATGAAGCAAGGCTCTCTGTCTGATAGAATGCATCCACTGTCCCTGCTCTGACAAGTCTTTCCATCATCAACCTACCAGCTCCCTCTCTGGACACACTGCCAAGCAGTATCACAGTAATAGAGTGTCTTCACACACTTTTTTTTCCACTTCTTCTCATTTTCACCATTAAAATGAAAACAAATTCTACACAAAACTCTTAGCATTCATTGTTTTTAGGGGTACTGGCTGCTTTTTACATTTCTGTTTCCATTTTTCTTTCAGTTTGCTTTTTTATCTGGTTCCTATGATAAAAAGCACATCATTCATTTCCCCATGGAAGGGTAATGCAGCTCCAAGGGAACATCTGTGAGGCCAATTAGCTGGGCTGGAAATGTGATATAATTGTTGTTTAAATATATTTAAATTACATGTTAATCACTATGTCATAATTTACGGGCTTTGAAAATAACTTTTTGTACTTCAGAGCCAAGCCAGATTTTACTTGCCTTTTCTGTTTTTGGTTTGCAACAAGCACTTTACTTTCCCTTCTTTCTTAATTCCTCACACTCGAGGAGCTGAACTTTTAATATTGGAAAGAATGACAGGTGCAAGTAAATTGGATGAGTGAAAATTAAGATCCCCACCACAGCCAGAATGAGCTGGAGTGACCTTAAAGTCCTTCTCAGGACAAAGCATTGCTCTCAGCTAAAAGGCTTTGTTTTCACGTTGTGCCTCTTTCTGCTGTCCATCAAAGTCTGGCTTTGTGGATCTTTGGGAAGCAGCGCCAGGTGCACTCATTCAATTAGCTGGCCAGAGGATTTACTGCCAGCAGGACAGAGATAGAAAGAGGTGGGTTAGGAACTGGGGAGTGATGAGGAGTGTGTTCCTGGTGGGGCGATTAGTAAGGGTGATGGATAGAGGAAGTTTAATGTTGTGGCCCTATCCCTGGGACATTGTATGATTGACTTGAACCCAAATGTCATAGGGTATAGAGAAGGCAAGTCTTAGCAAACGTAAAAAAAAAAATGTAGTGTTAAATGCACTTTTAAATGCCTTAAAATTAACTTTACAGTTGAATAGTGCATATTTGAACCTCTGTATGATTACATGCACAGTATTGATGTTTATATTATTTAATATTGATCCTGAGAAATTTTAAATAGAAAACCAGTTAAACTGTGATTTGTGGTCCAAAAATTATCATACCAATGAATGTATGTTCTTAGAAAACAAAAATAACACATGTTTAAATGCTTAGTATATATCTAAACATGTGCTTAATGAGTTTTTAATCTCTAAATAATTATAGTTTTTGATAGCAAATACAACAAACTACAGCAATTTCAAGCACAAAGAACATAAATTCTGCCATCAGAAACAGAATGTGTCTGTAAGACATGGCTAATCCATCCATCAGCACTAACTTATTACCTAGACACGTCCACATAGTAACTATAATGGATTTTCAACCCTTTGTCCTCCCAGGCATGTATACTTAACAGTCTAATGGGCATTTCCACTTGGTCACAGGTCAGACATCAACTCAGAGAAAGTGTTTTGGCATGGTGTGCAGTTCCCGACAGGCAGCTGCAATGTTCCTTCTTCCTCACAAGTTCATATACTACCATCTTGAAAACCTTCATACTTCAGAGGGCAGACGGGAGAAAACTGACAAAATGTGCCCGTGTGGGAGAGGCCTATTGAGATTTCAAAATGCTGATGTTAATCTGTCCATCTATGATTTTACATGTACTTACATATATGAAATCTATTATCACCTATCAATATATCTATTTATTATTTACTCTTCACTTATTTATTATCTATATAGTACCCATGTATCTTATCTATGATCTATAAATCATCTATTTACGATCATCTTTTTATCTATTATCTATATATCACCTGTGTATCATCTATCTCTTATATATGATATAAATATACATCATGTGTCTTTGTCTATTTATACCACATCTAATAGCTTTCATCTATTTATGTGTTTATTTACTAATGTCCTCACTTGTTTGTCTCATTTGAGTAGGACTGTTCAAGCACTTTTGCTCCATTCACCACATACAAAGTTAGCAAGTATCCTGTGATCCAGCGAAGGGACCATTTACTTGTGCTCTTGTTCTTTATTAACTTTTCAGTAATCTTAGAACTTTTAATCTTTCACGTGTCTTATCTATCCAACTGGTGGAAAGAGTTTTAACAAAAGGAAACTGTGAATGATATCAGTAAGTATGAGTGACGTACGCACACAATGTAGGCAATATGTAGTTTTCATTCTTCACTCAAAGTTCTTTCTTGATGTGAAATCATGTTGCATACAAATGCATTTACCTACCATTCCCAAAGTCAGTCTTGGAGCAGGCGGAGACCACAAGGTCTCGCCATAACAGCACTTCTGTTTACTGATTTACTGTTCTAGTACAGGCCTTAGTAAGTTCCTCTTGCTGATTGGCTTTGGGTAAA